ACCCTCACCCCTCTAACTCCATCGATTTCATAGCCCTCGCCTTCTAGGGCGTCATGTGATGGTGGAACCTCACTGAAGACGACACGAGGCGAGAAACGGTAACGTCTCTTGGAGAAGAGCTTGGGATCCACCACTGGGATGGAGGGGTCAGGGAGGGAATCCAACGCAGAGCGCCCAACGAGAGGGCTCCTACCCTTTGCATTTAAAGCTGCCCGATGAGGCCTCTTGGTCCTGTGGTGGCTGGTCCTATGATGCTGCTTGGAAGTGTGTTCTTCAGTAAGATGGTCCCTGGCTACTGTGTGCTGTTGTCTTGCTCTGTGATTGGCTGCCGTCTGCTGTCCTACTTTGTGGTTGGGTGCCCCGGCACTCCGGGCCAATCCACCTCCCATGTTCAGTACAGCCTGGACGCCGATCAGGAGGAGCAGGACCAGTGATGACGACCTCATGGGCACACGTCCTAAACCGAACACAAACACGCGATTGAGATGATGTCACATGACTGTCTAAAGTGAAAAGTTTCACACGTTTTTTAATTGAAATGCACTTAAAATGTATGAAAGGGTTGATAAATTGTTTCTAAGTGAGCAATCCACTTGGAAAATGTAACACTTTACCTTTACGGTGCATTTGTGACATCTAAGATTCAGCATCATTGATGTTGTCATTAAGGGGGCATTAGTTCTGTTATTGCTCTGATTCACTGAGAACGTCTTTGGTCTGCTCAACTATGTCTCGTTTTGTACGCGTTACTCTTGGTGAGTGTTTGAGTGTACCTGTGGAATGTGTCCAGTTGAAGTGTGAGCCCCTGTGGACTCTAGAGCCAGACTCCAATGCAGGTCGGGCCCCTCATGCCTGCCATCTGGACCCCGTGAACTACAGCTCTGCAAAAGACACACAAATACACACTAAATACTCGTGCAAATGTTATTTTAGTCAGATATAATACGCGTTGACATTTTCATAAATACATCTGGAGCTATCGTTTTTCAGATCAAACCAAATC